TTCGCTTAGCAGGCCTGAGCCAGGGTTGAACCCACCAGCCCTGGTGCATGTGGCTGGTGCCCTAACAACTGAGCTACAGGTGCCGAGCCTGTACCTAGGTTTTATATACTTTTATGACTATAGAAAGATATATATCTAGAAAAATAAGAAAATAAGTTCATCGGCAGCTAGTTGTCAGAGGGTTCTCTTATGTGCCTACCATAAATTTTATTCTTTATAAGCCAAATCCCTAACCCATCAAAGATGATACAATCATCAGTGATGTTATCTTTACTTTGTGGAGGAAGCATGAGATACGGCAAAAAGAATATGGATTTAGAACTGTGTTCGAAATCTCTGGTACATTATTTCCTGGTCTGAGGGTCTGTTGAAGTTGTAATGACCCTCTGATACTTGGAATAGTCGGAAGTCATTACAGTTCCTGAGACTATAGGTCTTATGGAGCCACAAGGTGACTGAGTTCACACTTAACCCTAGTTTACTTTTAACTTCTGTGAGTGGAACTGAACTAGTGTAGGGCCAAGAATTGCCCTTTAGATCTCCAACTAAAGCTAAACTAAGGTGACTAGGAATGGCTCAGTTCCAATGCACCAGTGGGTATCAAGTAATGGAAAGGGATGAGCACCTAGTCTAACCTCCATATTTAATAAATTAGGAAACCAAGACCACCATCCCCTCCAGGTTAAATAGTTTGCTTAAAGTCATAAGTCTAGTGGAGGTAGGATCAAGTCTCTTGACCTTTTCCTCAGGTCTTTCCCACTCTATCACGCCGGTTAGTGAGAGTCCTGGAGACTAAAGGTGGCCCAAAGCCTGATTTCAGTAATGCAAATGTCCAATATTTGCCTAACCTGGGGACTCCTGCATAATGAGAGACCATAGTGTTCCACAGAGAAACCAAAATAGCAAAGAATGATAACAATGAATAAAACTATTACAGTGCAATTCTTGATACTCTGAAAAACTGAAAAAGGACTTAAACTGCTGCTAAATTGTACCCACTGTAAATAACAACAATTTTCAGAAAAGTAAGTAAAAATGCATCCAGAGACTATGAATCTAAACAGACAAGCCTTGGGAAGCTGAAAAGCAGAGTAAAGCAACAAATGAGATGTATGTACTGAAGAATGCAGAAAAGATTAAAGAAACCCCAGACCTAATTCTGAAAACATTAAAAATAGTATATTCTGATTTAAGCAAATTAAATATGAAAGAGACTCAAAAGACACTAATCAGAGTTAATGCTAATAAGCCCCATCTGAATTTAGTTTAAAATTCAATTTAATGTCCACTCAGTTAATAAACTCTGTGATCTTCAAGAAAGAGGATAACATGGTTTGTTCTATAAGGGATCAAAGACATATTCTGCTAGGGGACTATAAATGAGCAATAACTCCTATAAATGGGCAATGCATATAGTTGCAAGTGAATTTATCAAATAACAGCTATTAATTAGCAGGAATATTCACAAGCAAAATAGACTGCAAGAACAAAAATATTAACATCTAATTGATGTTACCAAAACCAAAGCAATAGTGATTCCCTGCCATACTGACTCTGTATGTAGAATTAATTACCTTTTAATATTTTACATCAAGGTAAATAATATATTACTGTTCCTAATTGGAATAAATATTTTCCCCCTGCACTTTACCATAAAGAGCACCTATAAAGACTAAGAAATAAAAGGAACAGTTAATATAACCGTATGGTTATTTTATTTTACTATCACTTTCCAACAAAGATTAGCTGTTTCTTTCAGAAACTAAAATAACACAAGATGAAAGTTTATCTATAATGAGTACCTAGTTTGAAGAGAAAACACCTTTTATTTTGTAGCCAGAAGTTTAGTTTCTAGTTAATTCTTTCATTTATTTAATAATTACTGAACACTTACTTTGTAAGAAGCCCACAGGGGAGTTAGGGGGTACATGGGGAAAGAAAAGTACTATGGGCAAAGGGAACAGCATATGTGAGGGCCAAAAGTAGGATAAATATCAGCTATAAACTAATGCATGTTTTCAACACTTAAAATTTCTTTATAGGTTTAATTTCATACACACCATTTATTTTGCCACATTTTCTCTGGTGCTTCAAAACAGTGGCAACTCATAGCATAACAAAACCACTTATTAATGCTGATACCCATCACTAACATGTCAGTGTAGTGTTCTCAATCTGGGCTAACCCCAGAAAGAAAATGTAAAGTCATTAACTGGCTAATTTGATCATAATCATCCTGTTTTGGTTTAATAAATGTTTACACATCATTAACATTTCCACTGTCTCAGACACTGTCTTCAGTGCTAGGTGCTGGGAATTCAAAGATTTGATGATAACCTTTAAAATCAATTAGCTAGAAGGGAAGAGAGCCCATTCCACAAATAATTTCCACACAATGCAGTAGGAGCAAAGACTGTGTTGCATAGGCTAGTACAAGAACCCAGAGGAAAAGGGCACCCAACCCAAGGTGGGGAAACAATGCAAGAAGTGATTGTATGTTCAGGCTTGAAAAAGCAAGAGTTAGGTAAAGACAGAGACTTCTTGAAGAAGAAGCTCTAAGGATGGTTAGAAAATGACAAGAATAGACTTCAAGTTTGAAACTAGTCATCTAGTAGTCTGGAAAGTCCTGAAAGTAAAGAATATACACGGGGGTAGAGGCAGGGGGGAAAGGTGCAGTGGTAGATAGACTAAAGAGGTTAACTGGGATCACCAAGGATTCTGTAGACCATGCCAGGAAACTTTATTTTCTGGGAGGAAGCAGGACAGCTTAGGGTTGAGTGTTTGGAAGCAGATCAATTTTGGAGACAATCCTAGTTCTACCATTTACTAACCACAAACTTTATGAGTTACTAACCTTCTTTGACTTTAGTTTCTTCACCTGTAATATGGGGAGACATACCTTATAGTATTGCTTGGAAAAATTAATGACAAGATCCCTTGCTATCCATTTGTTGTAAATCACAATGAATGAAATCAATGAGAACTGATGACTGCCCCTATTAACAAGGTTTATTAACTGCCTACCCAGGGTTAACATTTTGGCAGGGGAATGGGAATGGCAAAGTGAAAATATAATGAATGTCTTAGCAAAGAGCAAGGCATAAAAACCAAACTAGCATAATAACTCAGGTAGAAAAATAACAGAGATTTCATCTGACATTTCACCACCAGGAATGGTGAAGGGCAGATCCAAAAATTACTAAGGAAGAAAACTTGACCAGTCTCTCAATCAGCAGTTGGGAAGGTCATGGAGAGAGAAAATGGCTCCCAGTTATCTAAATTATGTCCCCAACCATAGTTGGAAATCAAGAGATGGATCTAGTTAGGGGTAAGATGAATGTAAGATACCTGTGAAAAATCTAGGTAGAGATCACTAGAGAAGTGGACACAGAGCTCGCAGTTTAGAGCTGGAGAAAACACCTTTGAGTCAAAAGTCAATTACTTTATGCTGTGTAATACAGAACAGCTTAAATTGATTTTTTTCCCTAAAGTTGAAACTGAGATGTTAAAAGAAATCCACCCCTTAAAAAAAGAGGCATTATAATGTATAAAATTATACTCAAATCAGTAAGTAAAAAGATTATATAACTTTAGAGACTACAATGTCCACATTCACCTATAACCCATGTCTACTGTCCTTAGTAGTAACTGACTAGTCCCATAACAGTGCTCACCTGCCACTGGTAAGTGCTCCTGCTCGTACTGTCTACCGTCCAGTTATGATAGCTTGACGTTCACAACATAGCACCTGTAACCGCCAGTGATTCTGTCTATTGCTAAACCATGTCACCCATACAAACCCCTCCCTTATGAGGACAAAGGAGAAGATGACCTGAAATTGACAAATCTCCAGTTTTACTCAATTGTAAAACTGAGTATAAATTTTTTTTCTTTCTTTCTTTTTTTTTTTAAAGACAAATTCTCCTATGTTGCATTAGTAGAGTACAGTGGCGTCATCATAGCTCACTGCAACCTCAAACTCCTGGGCTCAGGTGATCCTTCTGTCTCAACCTCCTGAGAAGCTGGGACTATAAGCATGCCCAATTGCACTCAGCTAGGGCAATTTCTCTAATTTTTTAAATAGAAATGGTGTCTCACTCTTGCTCAGGTTGATCTCGAACTCCTGAGCTCAAGTGATCCTCCCACATCAGCCTCCCAGAGTGCTAGGATTACAAGTGTGAGCCACCACGCCTGGCTCTGAGTATAAATTTAGTAATCTCAAGGTCCAATGTCTATAAGGCCAGTTTGTTTTTCATATAGGAAGTCCTTTTGGCAATTACAGAGAAAATTAAACCATAGACTCACTTAAAGAAAAACCATAAATCTGATTCAATAGCCATTTTGTTTCATTTTTTTAATTTTTCAAAGAACTCCAAATGATATTATGAAGGCTCACCTTAATATTTCACCAAGTTAGTACTAAAAAAAGGCCAGCCATTAAAAACAAGTTGTGAAACTAATATTTTAAGAATGATTGAATTGGCAGCATGTTCTTTTTCAAGCCTCATCAACAAGAGTCAACACTCAGATTTTAAGCAAAATTACTTACTTGGCTGATATTATGAGGATGTCACAGACAACAATACATACATATATAGCTCAATAATTACATAACACATAAGAAAAATGGACTGTAAATTTAGGATCTGAGATGTGAGGGGAAAAAGTTGACAATAGCTCTTAAACTCCAATAAACACAACCTGAGCGACTCTTTCAAACAGTAGTGGCCTGCGCTTTAATTTTTCTTCTCTTTCTTCTAGTTCTCGTTGATACTCTTTCATCCTTTCCTTTTCACTTTTTCTAAAATTAAATAAAAATAATGGAACTTTGAAAGGTCATTTAAGAAACAAGAATTTGCATATATAACATTTAACTTAGATGACAAACCAGAAATTATGAGCAGAGTTTACAGTTCACTTCATTTTCTAGACTGGTAATACTCATGGAATGCAGAATAAAAATTGTTGGTTCTGAAAACACACATTTTATGTCCTGGGAATAATCTGAATACTTTGATTTCTGAAATCCTTAAGGCAGCGGTTCTCAACCTGTGGGTCACAACCCATAGGAACTGTATTAAAGGGTTTCGGCAGGTTGAGAACCACTGCCTTAAGGCATATTATGTTAATAAGCTTGAAACTGGCCTGAAAAATGAATGCTCTCTTATCTCATTTTAAGTGTTATAAACCAAGAAAATTTTGGTCCAAACTACATATCTTCTCTTTAAGGAAATTTCGTCTGAAAACTAGATGACTTTGCTCTTATTTTTTCTTCCAAAATAATATCTTAAATTAGTGGCAAAATTAATTCAATTGGAGTGAATCAAGGGAGAAAAGAGAAGCATGGAAGTGTTCAGAGGAACAGAAACCAAAATACATTAATTTATCATAAGTATAATTATTCTTTGGAAAAGGTCCTATAATGAATTAAATTAAGCTGTCTTCTCTATATAAGATATATGAATACTACCAAAGTAGTTAAGATTTCATGGATTAGAGAAGATATATTTGTAATTATGCTTAATTATATACAAGTTTTGGGGGTTTTTTTGCAGTTTTTGGCCGAGCCCGGGTTTGAACCCACCACCTCTGGTACATGGGGCCAACACCCTACTCCTTTGAGCCACAGGTGCTGCCCTTAATTATATACAAGTTGGTGTTATGAAAACACTAGTTTACTTCCTAAAGGTAAATGGTATATTTCTTTTTTTTTTTTTTTGAGACAGAGCCTCAAGCTGTCCCCCTGGGTAGAGTGCCATGGCATTACAGCTCACAGCAACCTCCAACTCCTGGGCTCAAGCGAGTCTCCTGCCTCCGCCTCCCAAGTAGCTGGGACCACAGGCGCCCGCCACAACGCCTGGCTATTTTTTGGTTGCAGCCGTCATTGTTGTTTGGCGGGTCCGGGCTGGGGATTCGAACCCGCCACCTTAGGTGTACGTGGCTGGCGCCTTAGCCGGTTGAGCTATAGGCGCCGAGCCAAATGGTATATTTCTAAGGAATGTTTTGCTCAAGTTCATCAAATAAAGCTCCCTTTCTCAATGAATTAATACTATATTATTATAATTATAGTATTATAATACTATATTATAAAGGAATACTTATTGTAATTAAGATAATTACATATATATTTAGAATCAAATGTATTTTGGTTTTTATAAAGTAGATTAAAAATTAATAAATCATATTACTTACCTGGCTTTAGGGGAGATATTTTCCTACTCAAACATAAACATTTTTATGTGCAACATCTGGAACACTGGTTTTCAAACTTTGTACAGAGAATTCTAGTGTTCTAGGAAGGGGTTCTAGGGACCCTACAAATATTTTTATTTTTTATTTTGAAACTATTAACAAAATGCAATACATACCACCTAAACATAAACACAAGTGTTAATTAACACATGGTATGATTGTTGTTAATTAACCTTAATGTGTTAATTTGTGCTGTCAGATTTTATATATACTTTAGAACAAAGCTCTTTGACATTTCTATTTATTATTGAAAAGTACTCTGAGATTACATGGCAAGTTATTTAAGAAAAAGTTTTACTTGGGTGGTACCTGTGGCTCAATGAGTAAGGCACAGGCCCCCATATACTGAGGGTAGTAGGTTCAAATCCGACCCCAGCCAAACTGCAACAAAAAAATAGCTGGGCATTGTAGTGGGTGCCTGTAGTCCCAGCTACTCAGGAGGCTGAGGCAAGAGAATTGCCTAAGCCCAAGAGCTGGAGGTTGCTGTGAACTGTGACGCCATGGCACTCTACTGAGTGTGACAAAGTGAGACTCTGTCTCTAAAAAAAATGTTTTACTGATGTGAATGAAGATTTTTCTCTGCATTGGCCTAAAAAGAAATAAAAAAAAGATTTTTCCCAATACTGTACTCATTGTGTAATCTAAAATAATATAGGCGGCATCTGTAGCTCAGTGGGTAGGGCACCAGCCACATACACCAAGGCTGGTGGGTTCTAACCTGGCCCAGGCCAGCTAAAGCAACAATGACAAATGCAACAAAAAAATAGCCAGGCATTGTGGTGGGCACCTTCATTGTGGTGGGCTACTTGGGAGGCTGAGGCAAGAGAATTGCTTAAGCCTAAGAGTTTGAGGTTGCTGTGAGCTGTGATGGCAAAGCACTCTACCAAGGGAGACAAAGTGAGACTATCTCAAAAAAAAAAAAAAATTAAAAAAAACCAAAACTAATATAAAAAGATTTATTACTCATTATTATTATTTTTTTGAGACAGAGTCTTGCTTCATCAAACTATTGAGCTAAAGCAATTCTCTGGCCTCAGCCTCTGAAGCAGCCGGGACTACAGGTGCCTGCCACAATGCCCAGCTATTTTTAGAGAGGTCTTACTTTGGCTCAGGCTGGTCAAACCTGTGAACTCAGGCAATCCACCCACCTCAGCCTCCCAGAGTGCTAGGATTATAGGTGTTAAGCCACTGCGCCTGGCCAAAGCAAAAGATTTAAATGCTGATAATAAGATTACAGCTATTAACTATGGCCATAATAGAAAATGTTTCTTGAATGGGCACAGTGGCTCATGCCTGTAATCCTGGCACTCTGGGAGGTCAAGGCAGGTGGATTGCCTCGAAGAGTTTGAGAACAGCTCAAGCAAGAATGAGACCTTATTTCTACTAAAAATAGAAAAACTAGCTGGGTGTTGTGGCAGGCACCTGTAGTCCTAGCTACTAGGAAGGCTGAGGCAAGAGGATTGATTGAGCTCAAGAGTTTGAGGTTGCTGTGAGCTATGAACCATGGTACTCCACCCAGGGCAACAAATAGAATAAGATTCTGCCTCAGAAAAAAGAAAAGAAAGTATTCCTGTCCAACAGTTTCACAGTTCTTACCATGGAGATGAATATGAGTACATGTTCTTCTCACCATGAGGTGAGGGTATGTATGTGTTGAGTATAAATAACTGATAATAATTTGAATCTAAAAACTAAAATGCAAATACCATTCTAAATCTGTTCATATCATATTTTGGTATCCACTGATAAAAAAAGGAGGAAAGGAAGGAGAGAGGAAGAGAGAGGGAAGGAGAGAGAGAAGGAGAGAGGGAGGGAGGGAAGCAGACTGAAAACCAGTGGTCTGGAGATTCAGGATTCTTTCATGATACCTGAGATATTTTACTTGCGATTTGGACACTTGAGCTAAACTTTGATGTGAGTCATAAGCTTTAGCCCGGATTGTCAAGAGTTTCTGCAATTCTTTCATTCTTTGTTTCTGCTTAGTTAGGATCCGATTTCTCTCTTCTTCCAACATTTTCTTTTCCTCAAGTGCTCTCCTGAGGGTAACAAACTAAGGCTTAATTCACTTCAAGCCAATGAGAATGTTGTTTAGCAAAGATTTAACAGGCAATAAAATCAAAGGTTGAAAAAAGGCAACCTTTTGAGAAGGATCTGACTTGTGAAATTAGAAATCATATCAAGTTTAACTATAACCTGCTCTATACTCAAAGATTTATGAAATAGAACATATATTCATTTCTTTTTTTTCGCAGTTTTTGGCAGGGGCTGGGTTTGAACCCGCGATCTCTGGCATAGGGGGCCAGCACCCTACTCCTTTGAGCCACAGGCGCTGCCCACATATATTCATTTTTTAGCTTACTATCTTCTGGCAAAATTTTCTAGGTTATAGTAAAATATCTTACAATAATTTCTTAATATTTTCAAATTTACCAGCCTAAATTCAACAGAGCTACAAACATTAACTTAGCGACCATGAGTCAGTCTGTATTGTCTCCTACTTCCTTACCTTATGGCTTCCTCTCGTCCTTTGGAAGATATTGTGGGCATTGGAGGATTGTAGCTGGAAAGCTTTGCATTTGTTCTTCTTACTGGTGACTTTTGCCTTGGAGACAAATAAGGCCAACGAGTTTCTTTTAAATTTTCTTCATCTGCTTCAATGTCTGCCAAAATTTTCTCTCTTTTATTAGAGTCAGGTGAAGATGCATGAAGATCAAATGGTTTACCAACTGTTAAGAGTCTCAAATATCTGTGTTCTGGGAGGAGTTTCTGATCTCTCTCAGGAAGGTCTTCAAAATCAGGAGTCTGGCACTTATCCTTGCATTTACACTTTGATTTTACAGTCTGTTCCAGATTCTTAGGATCCCTGAGTTGACAAGCTGACCTACAAAGGACAGGGGACAAATTCCGTGAAAGCTCTCGGGCTCTCAGCCATGTCCTATTACTTCCATAGACCTCTTCTTCTTTTACCTTGTCATTAGTAATTGAACTATAAATAGATCGAGGTAAAGGTCTGGCTTTAAATCGATTTGTTTTCTTTTTATTCTTAAAAGAGTCTCTCAGCTGCTTTTCTTGCGCTGCTCTCTTCTTTTCCTCCCTTGCAGTAAACTTAAATGGCTTTTGTGAGGCTAAAAGAGCTGCCTTGCTTTTCTCCTTCTGAAACCTCCTCCGCTCTTCATTTTGCTTGACTAACTCATGATAAAGTGGGAGAAAGACAGATGCAGGAACCGGATTGGCTCGGAATTTCTTTTTACACTCTGAATCTTCCTCTTGGTTTTTGAACTGTTTATGTAACATTTTAATGTCTGGTTTAGATTTCGTGGCCTCTTCTTTTTTCTTCTGTTCTCTAATCATCATTTGAAAAGGCTCAGGTACTGTAATCGTGGGCACCCACTGTTTTGATTTCTTCCTTGGTTTTTCAGCTGGTCGGAAGTCAATATTTTTACAGTGAATATAATCTTCAACACAAAAGTTTGTCCACATGTTGTTGATAAGCTCCTTAGCATAGGTCATCACTCTATTTTTCTCAGGATACTCTTTTTCTAGGCTGGGCAATTCCTCTTCAGAGGAAGATATATATGAGGAAGAAGAACGGCCTAAGTCAGGTTCAGAATACGATGCCATTAACGAGATGGGGTGATAGGCGTTCTTTTCTGATACAGATCTAAGTAAGAAGAATAGTTAGGTTACACTTTCAATTGTATGTGACCACATATAAAAATTAAGATAGAGTTAAATATTTTCTAAGGTCAAGGTATAATCAGGTAGAAGAAGGATCTGGAGAGGGCTTGTAGAAATTACCACTTTTATTGAGAATAGAGCTGGGAGATGCCTATAAATGATGTAGTCTGACTCTTTCTTTTCTTTTTTTTTTTTTTTTTTT